AGCTTCAGTCAGCTTCAGCTTCAGCTTCAGTCAGCTTCAGCTTCAGTCAGCTTCAGCTGTAGTTTGTTGTTCATCTCTCCTTTCTGTATTTCTGTATGTTGACAAACAGCCAGAAACACGTGTGCAGACAGTGATTCAGACGTCTGCGTCGAGGTTAGTGTCATTCTTCTCACCTGGGCGAAGAAACCAAAAAGAAAACGGGTGAAAAAGAGTTTTAAAAACCAACACAGGCAGAAGTTCAGTGAGTGAATACTGAGATTCATCGGCGGTCAGTTTCCTGCCCTGCGTGCATCGATGTGGCAGCTGTGTTTACTGAGACAGCTCTGAGGTTGTTACCATCTATTGATTGTGAGGCAGAACAGCAGCAGGTTGTGTGTGTGTGTGTGTGTGTGTGTTTGTAACCGGATCTCATTAAATAGGGAGTCGCACACTCTCGCAGTGAACTGACTTTTGCATCTGTTTGTTTTTGCGCGGAGCCTCGTTTTCATTCTCCCTTCATAACTACAGCTGATGATCATTTTCTCCAGCGGTCGATTAACCGATTTGTCAGGTGACATCTTAAAGTATCTTGTTTCGTCCGATGAAAACACTATTATATTTGATTTCCTCTCGTATATGACGGAGGAGCTCAGGATCAAATATAAACACTGGCTGCAGCTTTTACTTTCATTTCTGATTGTTTAAGTCCAGAAAAAGGGAAACAGTAAAGACTGATGAGGTAGCTTATTAAATTCACACTAGTTTGAAACAACGAAGAGCAAAAAAATCACCACATTTTAGAAGCTGAAGCCAGTGAATGTTTGGTATTCAGCAGTTCTTTCAGGAGCATTAGAGTCATCATTAAGCAGCTGATGTTACGGCCTGTGAGCGGATACATAACTTTATGTGAGCCGCGTTCGCAGCAGCAGACAGGAGTTGTGGTTAGATTCCCCGAAGAGCACTCAGAGATCAATAATTAATAATAATACTAATAATAAATATCTGAGCAGTGAGAGAGGAGCTGAAGAGCGTGTTTAACCCGCAGTGTGAAGGGTTGTGATGTACCTACTGTGTCCTTCATAACTCTGAATAATACAGTAAATTAAAGGTCGCTCTTCTTCTTAAATGAGCAGTTTGTCTGTCTCTATCTTTTATTTTGTAAAATGAGATCCTGAAGTTCATCTAAACAGGCTGAAGTGAGGAGGAACTAGAAGCTTTAACAACAAAGATAGTGTTGAGCAGTGGGAAGGGGAAACGGGATCAGTTGAGAGACGGAAAGAGAAGAATGAACGAAAGCAATAAATGGAGGAGAGGACAGAGGAACACACATCATCAGAGAGCGGAAGAGATTTGGTGACACGTTAATGAGGAGGCGCTGACAAAGGTGGAGAGCGGGAGGCGTGATGATAGCAAGAGCGATGGAGGAGAAGTGGAAGATGGATGTGAAGAGGGGAAGAGAGGAAGAGGGAGGGGAAAGAGTGACACAGAGTCGGAGAGAGGAAACAGGCCGGTCGCTGTGTCTTCGTCCAACTATCGTGCGAGAGTTGGAGCAGATGTTGGAAGTGACGCAGAGAATAAACAGTGAAGTAACTCAGCTGCTGCTGCTTCAGTAAGTCTGAATAAATCAGGTTTCATTACATTTGAAACGTCCGTAATACAAAATGTGAGTCATTGTAAAGAAGAATAAAGTGTGAAACGACTGATAATGAAAGAAGTGAGTGAAATAAGACTGAAACTAACAATTGTTTTCATTATTTATGAATAATAATAATAATAATAACTTTATTTGTGTAGCACTTTTTAAAAACACAGTTTACAAAGTGCTTTGACAGAACAACAGAGAACACAAGAATACAGTTTACAATCACAAAGGACGATAAAAGGAATTGCATGAAATAGTTGAAATAACAGGTAATGATAATAGAGATGGAATAAAATAAAAGTAAAAGAAGAAGAAGATGGAATAAATAAAATAAGTAGAACAGAACTCAAAGACGGTTGGAGTAAAAATAAACATAAAAGGACCAAACACATAAAGGCGAGGGTCTATTTAAACGGTTTTAAGAAGTGATGCAAAAGAATTTGTGCACGGGTCAGCAAACGGAGACCAGGACTGGTGGTGCTGCTGTTGCGTGTGTGTGTGTGTGTGTTTGTGGTGTGTGGTTTTTGTGGTGTGTGTGTGTGTGTGTGTGTTGTGGTGGTGTGGTGGGTGTGTGTGTGTGTGTGTTTGGGTGTGGTGTAGCAATTGAGGGGAAACAGTCAGGGAATAAGCGTCATGGAGTCTGTGTTTTTTAAATCTGCAGCAGGCTTTCTGAAGCACCGTACACCAAAAACCTGTAAAACAGGTTTAAAAACAGCCCAAACAATCAATCCCATAAATACTATAAACAACGGGCAACATTACACACTGTACGGAGGGACTACTTCAAAACAACACTCGCGTTTAAAATAAGATCATATTTACCACTAATAACAGTGACGGGAGCTGCTCACTGTTGTGCCACCAATCTGTGTGTGCCACTTCATGAAGTCAACAAGGAGCAGGGAAAACATCTATTCAGCCTTTTTGTTGTTTTTGTTGTTTTGTTACTGTAATGAGTTTTTATTTGTTTTCATCTTATTTACCTTACTGTTACTTATTGCTAGTCTGTTATTGGTAATAGTGTTGGTTTTGGTACTTTATTCTGTTCTGAATATTGTATTTAATGCGTCGGTATCGGGAGTGGGACAGCAAAGAAAGAGTTTCACTGCACAGGAGGGCAACTTGTTTCTTCTCGTTGATACGACAATAAACATCTTGCAACTTGGTTTATTGCTTTAAAGGGAGGCGAAAATAACTTATTTCGGCCCGCGTTAAGCAGTCAGTTTAACAGTTTCTTCCTCCTTTCCTAAGGATAGATTAATTTCTTCACGGTAACGAGTTAAATAAACACCAACATCTTTTTTGACTCTAAATCTATCCACCAAAATTTAATAATAAAGGCTACTAAAACTACATCAGTTAAGTAAAATGTAGGGGAGTGACACCGACAAAAAAAAAACCCCCCCCAAGGTCTGCACAAATGTTGAAAACAGAATCTGTTATTTATTAAAAATGTATTCAAACTTTTTGGCAGGGTAAAAAAAAACAACAGTGGCAAACTTGCAAAATACAAATCTGATTGGAATTAAGAAACACAGACACAATAAATAAAAGTTTCCGTTTTGGTGTTTCACAGAATAAGTCGTGTTACTGCTCAACCCTGAATGAGCCACAAACGTACAACACAAAAAACAAACAAACAACAAACAACAACAGCGCTGTTGTGCCTGGCGTGGGACTCCCAAGAACTCGTACAGTCAAACATCTACCCCGGGGTGACGACACACAATTGAGTGCGTAACGACGCTGTGACTCAGTGCTATCCGCGGTTGTTTGCTTGCGGAAAAGAGATCGGTTGCTCAGTGAACCCTTCCCTGGACAAACAGGACACACACACACACACACACACCACACAGGGACAGACACACACACAGACACACACCACACAGACACACACCACACACAGAACACACACACCACACACAGACACACACACACACACAAGACAGACACACACACAGACACACAC